AAAAAGAAAAACTCAACCTTTCGGCTTGCCCTTCTTCTTGGCTCCACGTCCCCCTGATCTGCAGGGCCTTGAAGGCACTGCTGGCTCAAGGGTTGGGCTCTTGCGATACAAGTTCAGGTAAGGAGCAAGGGATGAATTTGACAGAGACAGATCTGCCAACTGTGCTAAACCGTCGTTCAAATATATACGGGCGGTACGGGCTGCTGCCCACCGCCCCTGGACAAGGAGGGTGTCGAACGATCCGTGATGGTTAAAGTGGAACGTCGCGCCACCACGTCGTAAACTGTAAGGTCTGAAATGTTGGTCAGTGAGGTGCAATGCATCAATGGCCCGAGCAAATAATGCTCGCCAAGCATGAGGTTTGAGAGTTAAAAAGGCTGTTGGAGAACTGGACTGCTTCCAACGCCACAAAGCTGGGAGGATGGACTGCTCATGCAGGGTTACACTTTCGGCTGCTCCTTGGCGTGCGCCTCCCTTAGTCAGGCCTAATGACAGCACGGCCGGTCCCTTCGGCCCAGGGATGAACACATCCTTTGCCCGTAGGCTCAGAAGTTCTCCTGGACACGCAGCGACAAGCCGAAGGTGGGGCAGTCGTTAAAAATTGACCGCCCACAGAGAGCATCCAGAACCTGAAGGGTTAAGGGCGGCGCCCGATTCGGGATCTCTACCGATGTCCAGGCTTTCAACAACCGCCAACTTGCTGGAAGCTTTCGCTTGAGAGAGGGATCACGGTCCTGAAGAGCTGCTAAAGTGTTATTGGCAATCGACTTGCCTTCGCCTACCGCCCACAGATGTTCAAGGTAGTCACTGACCAGGCCATCGAGGAGGTTCTGCCGCTTTGGGAGGACCAATCCCTCCCCTGCCAACCAGTCGAAAAAGCGGTTTAAGCAGTCTGTATATCGTTCTCTTGTGCAAGGTTGAACTGTGAGCCCTTTGAGTGAACCTAGCTTGCTTCGGACTTTCTTGCGCTCCTGTTGACTCCTACCTTCCATCACTTTTGTGGCCTTTTTCCCCATTTCCGATGTAATGGTCTTCGCGACGGCCGATCGGCCGGGTTCTGGTGTGTGTCCACGTAGGCCCACACACCCACAAGCCCACTTGCCAACTGAAGCGCTCCAATCCTACACAAGGTTCTCCTCAAACGGCGGCTCGACGATCTGCCTCTTGACAACGCATGCAGCACCACAAGAGAATCGATCAGATGCAAAAAACCGCAGGCTCCTTCTTCAAGCTCTTTCAACCTCCAAACTATGGCTGTTTTGACTGCGCGCAGCTCCAAGGCGTTGATGTGTTCCGCATCACCTGTCCAGCGCCACCCTGCCACATCCTTCCATCGCCAAAGTTTGCTGGGAATCGAAGCTCGTAACCTATGGTATCTTGCTGGGAGATCCGTGCCCAATTGAAGCAGGATGTCTTCTCCCTTGACAGAGACTTGCCCTAACAACCGCGGCACCAGCCCCACTGGAGGCCCCCCCGCCTTGGTGGTTTGGCGAATGGGAGGTCGGAGCAGGAGGCTTGCAAGGTTCTGTTCTTTCCCCGGGGTCAACCGCAAGACAAGCGTCTCCACGTCAAGGTCGGGCACCATACCAAGGGTACGAAACAGGCAGTAGAGCAAGTAGACGACCACCGGAATCGACCAACTGTTACCAAGCAACCGGAGCCGACAGTCATTGTGATCTGGCTTCCCTTCCATGCTCTTGACCATGCACCGACGGGTGTAGTCCATAGGGAACCCAAGAATGGCCTCCCTCTCCTTGACTGAAGGAACCCGATGTTCGCCTGCGCGGTTCACCACACAGTTCTCAGCACGGTATTGGTACGGCGGGAAGCGGTGTAGGTCCGCCTTCCACCGAGCGACTGCGTCCGGGGGGCACAAACTGAGTCCAGCGGGCCGGCGTCCCGGCTGAGGCGACGGCCTAGCAGTGGTAAACGTGGGAAAGGGACTGTCTGCACGAACACGGCGCCAGCCAGCCTCCAGGAAATCCTGCTCATCCACTGTTGCGACCAACTCAACGCGCCCCTGCACTGGGAGAGCACTTTCTCTCCCCTTGATCACTGTGGTTCCGGGCATGCTCCAAGGATCCCAGGTGCACCAGTACAACCTAGGCCGCCTGGCAAGACTCACCTGACCTGCGTCTATCAACCACGGCGTAGTCTCGTATGCCTGCGACATGGTTTCACAGTCCTGGACGTCCATCGAAGCGACATTCTCAACAAGGCGATGAACCGGGCACCAACTGAAGTGCTTGCGAATCAAGGCTTCGACCGTGGGGATATGCTGGAAGAGGCTAGATCGCAGATCTCGAAGTGCCCCCTTCCGATCGACGTTGAGTCCGGAAACGCCTTGACACGGTGGTCCAGCTCCTAAGAGCACAAGTCCCACGCTGGCAAAGCGCAACCTCCATTCAATCACATGCTCCTCAGTGATCGCGGCAACATCTTCAATGCAGACGACATCCGGAAAATACGACTCCACCACTCGGTTGGCCTCGGGCGAAATCTCAACCGACACATATCCTCCTACAGGCACACGCAGCGCATCCAGGGCAACCCGCAAGGCACCTATCCCATCAAAGAGCGACACAACGAGAACCTGGTCTATCTCCTCCGGCTCAACTGCATCCCCGCGACACTCTGCCTGACAAGCCGCTACCCCAAAAGGACTAAGCTCTCGACTGACGCACAGTCCACCTCCGGTGGTAGATGCATCACTGGCTGTGACCAGTTCCGAGGTACCCAGTCTGAAGTCCATGTAGGCCAAGGGGGTCAAAGCGATAAACCTCAACAACTCAAGCGCCACTGCAGTGGGAAGGGGTCGCCTACACCTGGGTCCCCACTTGCTCAGCTCAGTCACTTGTCTCCAGATGGCATTCAAACCTGACAGCAATGGTCGCCTGAACATCGCAATGTAGACGAAGCCTCCACCAACTACCTGCAACTCACGCTGCGACGCTTTCCCAGCAATGCAGAGCTCCAAGGCGAACCTCACATACCTACCTACCTTGTCCGCTTTGGGGGAGGCACGGCCCAAGTCACCATCCACCCAGGCCCCCTGTACTTCAGCTTGCACCTGTTGAGTGACGCCCTTCTTGGGATGACGTGGGAGACCCAATTGCTGGTAGGTCTCCCTTACGGCCAGAGTCCAGGCTGACGGAGTCCCCTTCAAGGTCTCGGCAAGCGCCCTATCCACTTTGCGCAGCTCGTCATAATTGTCAAGGTACACACGGTACTGATGAGGGGCCGTGCTCTGGCGACGATCGCGGCGAATCTCCTGTTGTCGGCCTGCCAGTTGCTTTTCTCCTCCCAATGCTTGCTGTATGACTCTGCGGTGTACATGCTGAGCAATCGCCACGGAGTTATAAACCCCATGGGCAACACCCTACTTACCAAGTGCCAACCGGTGCCGGAGTAACCTGCTGGGAGGCCTTCGGGCGGAACCTCCCTTGCAAACCCCATGAACCGGTGCCATTCAACTGGAGTCCGAAAGAGATAGAAAAAACACCTCACATCTTCTGACGACGTGAGGAGAAGTTCTCCGTCATCTAAAACGGTGCCAGCCATTCCCGTGACCGTGGGGAGCACATCAAACTCAGCGACGTAAGAAAGGGTTCCGCCATCACAGAATTCCCCCAGGTCTAGACTTCCTACCCTCTCGGGAAAGGCGGCGGCTATCATCTTCCACTCAAATGCTCGAGCAACGCGAACCTCCTCACCAGAATAGTCAATACCTTTTGTGGCAAAGAACTGATCCAGGCAAACTGGGGGGAGCACCAACCGGGAAACCTCACTGCTCTCCACCACTCCTTTAAGTCTCTCAATGATCCTCTTCTGCACCTTATTGACCTTCTTCAGACCCTTCGATTCAACCCCATAAAGGCTGTTCAAACCCCTCACAACCAAATCCAACGTGGGACACGCTTTCAAGCACTCCTTCAACCCCTCAGGAAGTGGGAGAGGGAAGACCCCCTCCGTGGACTGCCCGCAACGCGTGGTCTGTGACA